TGCGGGGCGGGGGGCGGGGGGGTTGTCACTGGTTTGGTCATACACTACCCGCATTGAAAAAAAAAAAAAAAAAAAAAAAACATGCAGGTGAAAACACACATCATCGCTCTATAGGATATACTGTATGGGTGGCTTGTTTTTCAATCTCAAGAAATGTCCATAAGACAAAATTGTAGTACTTGCGCACCTCGGATACGCCGTCACCGAGGTGAAGTGTGAAAATAAATGGAACAACGGCGAGAGTGTAATGCCCTCGCGTGCGGGCAAGGAAAGCCAAAGTTGCTGATGAACTGTCACCCATTTATTTAAATGCAAACTATCAAACACACAAATATAAAATGAAAACACTCTCAAGGAGCTGCTGTAGGCCACTACTCACACCCAGTCGTCCGTGCACGGACTAACTCAGAAAACGGTCACAAACTTTCAAACTTCGGCTTGCCTGACATCAACATGACAGAAAAAAATATAACTGAATGCAACCCTTGAAATTCATGAAATACAACTCATGAAATACAGTAGATGATTGATTACCATCTGTAGCGTCTCTCCCATGTACTCTTCTTCTTTCGAAACGTATCACACACACACACACACACACACACACACACACGCACACACACACCCACACACACACACACACAGACACACACACGCAGACACACACACACACACACAGACACACACAAAACACTCACGCACACACACACACGCGATGAGCATCCAAACACGCCGATGCACTCCCATCCCAGCAGGCCCACCAGCAGTCCTCCTGGGTGGTCCCCCCAATGCAGGCAGCCATTCTGCATCAGTTTCATAGTACGTCAAGTGAGTTATCCCCAATACCACACACACACACGCACACGCACACACACACACACACACACACACACACACACACAGGATTAGGATAGAGTGAGTCGTTATTTTTGTGATTTGCCATGTGCACACCAAAAATAGTGCAAAAAAACCAAAAAAAAAGGATGTTTGCAGAGAGTGGAAAAAGCTAAAAATGTTCTGCTGCTGCTATTGCTGCTCGTTGATGTGAACAATGTGACGAAAAGAAAAGAGCCAAAATCTGTCAAAAGCGTGATGGAATTGTTCGGGTCATGTTACGCGTTAGATATTACGGGAAGTTGACTTTTAAATATTCAAAAAAATAATAATAAATACAAATAGTTGGGTCCCTGGAGTCAGTCCCTTGCCACATGTGAAATTCAACAAACAGTGATACTGGTGGTGAAACAGTGCTAATTGAGTTCATCGTACATAAAAATAAAAAATTATAATAATAATAACATCAAGCCAATTTAGCCCACTGAAACGACCGATCACGGCTCATATGTTTTCTGAAGCTGAGCCATGATTGGTTCTCACCTGAGCGCCGAGCAACTGTCATATCAAAATGGCCGCCTCCTGACATGGCAATAAACGCGGGGGGATTTTGCTGTTTAACTCTTATTCCTCATACACAATATTAATCACAATGCCGTATTTAGACGAGTGGGGCAGAATTGAACATATTATGGTCGAGAAAATTTGGGGCTTGACTTCCCCTTTAACTCATTCAGTACCAGCCAATTCTAGACCAAGTCCGAAAAGACGTTTAAAAACGTCTTTGGGAGTGAATGAGTTCAGAAAAGTCATCAAATATCACGGCGAAAGATATTTGGGGTATTTTTTGTTAGCGTTTCATGTTGACTGAACAACATGTAAAAGGTTAAGACACCGTGTCAAATTGTAAAAAAAAAAAAAAAAAAAAAAAAAAAGCAAAAAAGGTCTCT